AAAGAGAGTTACTGAGAGCATTGTCCAATACACCAAGACATCCTGATCTGCAAATTCACATCTTGTGAAATTTTAAGGTTTACTTCTGAAAAGGTGCATAGCTTGTCCCCAACTACTTTAGTTAAATGAAAAGGTTACACTCTGACACCCACAATAGGCAATTTTCTCAGTATGCAGATTACATGATACTCTGAATGGTTTAGTCTAGTTTTGAATAATCTTGTATTAACAGCTACAGAGAAGTTGCTCAAGTATATGTAATTTCATATATCTTGCAGTTAAATTAGAATTACAAAACCAAGATGTAGTACTGAGGCATTATACAGTTTATGCAAAACCCTTTAAATGTGCAGTCCAGAAAAAGATATATCACTTACACTTCATAGTGTTCACTGTGTATCATATTCTTGTTCACAATAACTTTTGTAACAAATCACCCACATGTCACTTTGTGACCAGATATGACACAATATCCAGACACTTTCACATAACAAACACAAAATCTGAAGATATTTAGTTTTAGCTAAGTATTTTTTCTAAATACACTCAGTAACTTTTACAACACAAATATCTAGGCTGACTTGGTTCTTATACTCACTGAAATGTCTTTGCAACTGTCAGCATTTGTAAGCTAATGAAATCTTTGAAAAAATATACTAAATATATCTTACTGTGGGTAATAATTTAATGCTTACATAATGTAACAAAAATCAACGTAATTTTTATACTGATTTTTAACATGTTAGAATTAAACCCATAAGTAACAGATGCATAATGATTTTTATCTAAAGTCTCAAAACATTCCAAAAACTTCCACTAAATTTCCCAACTCTCTCCTAAGGTGGGTTTATACTTACCATTAATTCAGCTCACATGTGAGAAAACTCTGGCAGAAAGTTGTTGGGAGAGTTACACAAAATCCCATAGCAAGTCAAGCTAAGAATTAGAGTTTCATGAATCCCAAACCTGTGTGCTCTTCACTTTATAGTACTTCCTCTCTGCAATTAACACATATGAAATATTCTTAATGTGTTACCTGTCCTTATACACCCAGCAGGAAAGCTTGTCACGTGGTGTAGGAGGTTGACCTTTAAAATTTGTAATTTTTTTCCACCTATAGGTTCCATTTTTTGTTCGCAAATTAACATAATACAGCTTAAAAGAAAAAAATTACAATATTTTCAGTATAAATGATGTCGAAAAATGCAGCATAAATCACCAGCAAAAAGAACAGTCCACCACCCCCAGAACATACTATTTCCTTTTAAAAAAAAGAAGGGAACTAATATACACAACAAGAACACAAAAAGGGTGAGAATTAGCAGCACATTTCCTTGCCTTTGCTGAGCCAGACCAGAACAGTCATATCCTGCTCCTTACAGAGTCAACTGAAGCCTTGCAAAAAACTTCTGTGAGACAAACAGCTCCCAATTCAGTTCTACTGGCAGAACTGTCAGTCGTTCTGCCTAACCTAACTAGGCAACTACACAAAAATCAGCAAGGCTTGTGAACCGAGCACTAAACTGAGATCAGGTTCCATTTCAGTTATTTTTTAGTCAGGATTGAATTCTGACTTCATTTACACTGAATGATAAAACAGCTCATTTCATCTATTTTGCTACTCCAGACTTCGGTTACAAGGAAAACTGGTAGCTGTATTTTAGCTTTAATTATTACCTGATTAATAGTGATTACCTTTCTTTTATAAAGAGCAAAATTAAAAGTGGTATTCTGAGGTCAAGTTGAATTATGGCTGACAACATATTAAAAAAACAAAAAGGCAATTGGGAAAGCAGTGGCAGTTTTCAGAAATAAAATCAGAAAGTTTCCCATGTGGGTCTCATTCTGAAGCTATGATTCACTGAAAAATCCCAGAAAAAATATATGGAGTTGAACATTAAAACAAAAATGAAAGTTTTTTGTCAGTTTAAAAGTATACTTCTTCTACAAAAATAAAGCTCTTCCTTAAATTTCTCCTTAATTCAAATGCAAAGTACACCAAACAGAACAGTAAGGTCAGCATTATTATTCCCTCAAATACAGTATGTTATGAAAGAAAAGAATACAATACCCGGTTACTGTATCCTTTATCATCAAATCCACCAAAAATGTACAGCTTCCCATTAATGCTTGCCCCACAGCTTCCTGACATGGAGGTAGGTAACTCTCCTTCCATTAGGTGCATTGTCCTGCAATTTAGCATATACATTCAGTCTTAAAATGCTGCTTTCAGACCTGCTAAAATTAACAAACCCAAACCAGATGTATTAATAATTTTTATTCTTAAACCTAAAAATACAGTTGCAATGTTTTGGCCATAACTAGCACTAGAAACTAGAGCTGATATATGAAGTCAGGCTCTTGTGGTGTGTAAGAGGACTTTAATGTGAATATTGTGCTTATGTTTATGAAGCAGCATTAGTAGAGCTGAAACATTAATTATTCAAAACCTGGAAATACTATTAACACCACAAACTCCTGAAATGAGAACATGGTATTGCTGTTATTTTACAAATGGAAAACTAAGGCAGAAATAGAAATAAAAGTCAGAAGTACTCACTAATTTTGGTACCCAATATGCCACTCCTAAAACTGCATTTTACACTGTATTTAGCATAACAAAAAAATCTCAGTAATGCCAAGTTTAGCAATGAGTTCCCTGTTATTCAGCAACAGCAGCTCCTAGCCTTTTCCTTGCTGGTCTCACTTACAAACCAGTAACTTCCTGGGATGCAAATTCTCATGTTACACAATCTCAAGCACTAGAAAACTACCTGACGAAACTCAATCTCCTCTGAATTCATGAGGCTGAGCATTAGGCCAAGACTGCACTTAGAATCATTACTCCACATTGAAAACAGCTTTCCTAGGATCTCCACTTTCTACAAAGACAGGGACCTGCATTTCCCTATCACATGTACACACAGAGAGGACATGTGATTTCTTTAGGATTTCCACCTTGTTGCCACACCTTCAGTCTCTGTAGATTTAGCAGCCAAACCCCAGTTTCTCCTTGCCCCAGCTTTGCTGCCAACATCTGCTTTCACACCACAGTTTCTGCTTGAAGCTTCCTTCCCCTGCTGTTCCCATTCATTTTCCTCATCTCTCCACCTGACTCTGTGCCTTCCAACTGGGTCCTTAGCTCAGTCTCCCTCCTCAGTCATGGTTTCCCACCTTCAAAGCCCGATTCCGCTTTTTCTCTCTTCTAGGTCTAGTATCACTGCAATTACTGACCCAGCCAACTCCATTCATCCTTCTTCATTATCACACAGAATCACAGAATCACAG